GAGTAGCACAGCTAAGGAAAAGGGGGAAAAAATGGCGGACTGCGTTGTTTGGCGACCCCCGTGAAATGGTCGTTCGACCCCAAATGGGGTCCCGACCCACAGGTTGAGAACCACTGATATATAGAGATTAAGAATTATATGTATGATGAGGAACAAATACACTGGAATATATACACTGGAATGTTACGTTATTATGTCCATCTTTGTTTTAACTGTTTTATAAATACAAAACTTTTTAAAATAAAAAAAAACTAAAAATTTCTGTAAGCATTTGAGGTTTCTTTCCTTCCTCTCCCCCCTTTTTTTTTTTTGGCAAACTCCAGCTTGATAAAAAGAGTTTTGCCAAGCGTGAAAGTTTGCAAGCTCTTAGTTTAGTGACATTTTTAGCTGCTGCTCTTAATCAAACTGCGAGCCCTTATATGGAGGCTGAATTTCTTATCCTCAAGGATCCGGATGCCTTTGCTTTGACTTGGATCCTCAGAAGAAAGATCATGAAAAGCCTCACATTTTGTGTTCCTGAAAACCTGCCAGCCAGTAGAGCACATTACACAATTCGGCTGTCGTTTTTTTTTTTTTTTTTTTGCTATGATTAAAACAGATGCACGCGTAAGGACCGCTTCTGTCTTAACTAAGAACTTTTATTGATTTTTTTATTATTATTTTCCAAAGCAGAGCAGCATCACTCTAGGGGACTTTTGCGAATTAAAACGATGAAAATGTTTATAGACTTGCAAAACAGATCAGATAAGGGTAGCGCCGTTCCAAGCTCCCGATGAGCTATTTGAACCACTCAGAGTTTTGAATTTTGAACTCAGAATGGCCAATTTGGAGAAGGTGGAATGGGATGTGACTGTTTCAAATACGAAACACCTGCTGGGACCGGAAAAAGGTGTGGTGAGATTGGTTGCAGTAGGAGAGAGTTATATTACAGGCCACCTTCAGAATAACAGAATGCATGTAATACTTCACAGGCAACAACAACAACAACAATAATAATAATAAAGTTGGAAAGGACCTTGGAGGTCATCTAGTCCAACACCCTGCTCAGGCAGGAAACCCTAGACCATTTCAGACAAACGGATGTCCAGTGTCTTCTTAAAGACTTCCAGTGTTGGAGCATTCACCGCTTCTGGAGGCAGGTGGTTCCACTGGTTAACTGTTCTAAATGTCAAGGAATTTCTCCTTAGTTCTAGGTTGCTTCTCTCCTTAATTAGTTTCCATCTGTTTAGAAGTAACTCAAGGCAGTCAACGTGCATAACACAAGTAATCCTCAACTTACGACCACAGTTGAGCCCCAAATTTCTGCTGTTAAGTGAGAAGTGAAGTGAGTTTTGCCCCCTTTTACGACCTTTTTAGCCACCGTTGCAGTGGATAAGTTAGTAACCTGGTTGTTACTAACAACCGCATGAAGCGGTTGCCAAACGTCTGAGTTTGGATCATGGGATCCATGGGGAGGCTGCGAAAGTCGTAACTGTGAAAAAGGGGCGTAAGTCATTTTTTTTCAGTGCCGTCGTAACTTTGAACGGTCACTAAATGAATTGTCGTAAGTCAAGGACTAGCTGTACGTCATCCTTCTCCTATTTCCCCCCAAAACAACAACCCTGTGAGATGGGTTGGGCTGAGTGAGAGGGATTGGCCAAAGTCACCCAGCCAGCTCTCATGGCTAAGATGGAACTAGAACTCACCGTCTCCCGGTGACTGGCTCCAAATCATCCAGCTGGCTTTCATGCCGAAGATGGGACTAGAACTCCTTGTCTCCTGGTGACTGGCCCAAAGTCAGCTAGACAAATGGCTGTCCAGTCTCTTCTTAAAAACTTCCAGTGTTGGAGCATTCACCGCTTCTGGTGGCAGGCTGTTCCACTGGTTAACTGTTCTGTCAGGAAGTCTCTCCTTAGTTCTAGGTTGCTTCTCTCCTTGGTGAGTTTCCATCCCTTGCTTCTTGTCCTGCCTTCTGGCGAGTTATGACCACAGCTGAACCCAACATTTCTGCTGCTAAGTGAGACCTTTGTTAAGTGAACGTTGCCCCATTTTATGACCCTTCTTGCCACAGTTGGTAAGTGAAACACTGAAACTGTTAAGTAAGGAACACAGTTGTTAAATGAACCATTGATTTTTGCTTGTCAAAAGGAGATCACACGATCCTGGGACACAGCAATGGACATTAAGTATGAACCAATTGCTGAGCCTCTGAATTTTGATCACATGACCCTGGGGACGCTGCAACGGCCGTAAGTCTGAAAAACAGTCCTACGTCCCTTTTTTCAGTGCCGTCGTAACTTCGAACGGTCACTAAATGAACGGTTGCAAGTGGAGAACCTCCTGTACTGCTTCGACGTTGAATTGTTTCCAAGGCAAAAAAAAAAAAAAAAAAAAATATTGCACACCATTACAACTCCAGTTGCCACACCTGAGTCCAAAATTTCCGTTGCTAAGCGAGACAACTGTGAAGTGAGCTTTGCTCCATTTTGTGACTTTTTTTGCCACAGTTGTTAAGCGAATCACAGCAGGCATTAAGTGAGTGACACGGCGATTAAGCGAATCTGGCTGGACTCTTGACTTTGCTTGGCAGAGGGTCGCAAAAGGGGATATGACGTGACCTCAGGACGCTATAACCGTCATAAATATGAGTCAGCGGCCGAGCGTCTGAATTTTGATGGCGTGACCACAGAGATGCTGCAACGGTCGTTAAGTGTGAAAAATGGCCATAAGTCGGGGGTTTTTTCAGTGCTGCTGTAATTTTGAATGATCACTAAACAAATGGTTGTAAGTCCAGAACTACCGGTAGATTGTATTCCTTAATTGGGTTGCGAAATATTTGATATATTTGTGAAGAGTGCTGATTAACAGTGTTTTTTTTTTAAAATGCAACCATCTCTGCCATTTGTCTCGGAGTTAGCCCAGCTGGTCAAGGGACACACAAAAATTGACTTTACATGGCAAAACTATAGTATTTTTCTAGAATGGCATACTATATTATTTTACTCAACACAATTCGCATTAGGACCTAATTTTAAAAGAAAAATGAGACTCTAGAAAGAGTACAGAGAAGAGCAACAAAGATGATTAGGGGACTGGAGGCTAAAACATATAAGGAACAGTTGCTGGAATTGGGGATGTCCAGTTTAATGAAGAGAAGGACGAGGCGGGACAGGATAGCAGTCTCCCAAAATCTCAGGGGCTGCCCCAAAGAAGAGGGAGTCAAGCTATTCTCCAAAGCGCCTGAAGGCAGGACAAGAAGCAACGTATGGAAACTCATCAAGGAGAGAAGCAACCTAGAACTAAGGAGAAACTTCCTGACAGTGAGAACAATTAACCAGTGGAACGACCTGCCTCCAGAAGCAGTGAATGCTCCAACACTGGAAGTTTTTAAGAAGAGACTGGACAGCCGTTTGTCCGAAATGGTATAGGGTTTCCTGCCTGAGCAGGGGGTTGGACTAGATTACCTCCAGGGTCCCTTCCAACTTTATTATTATTACTATTATTATTATTATTATTATTGGACCTAATTTTGAAAGAAAAATGTGCAATCATCTCCCATTCTTGACGTCAGCTTGACTTTAATTTTCTAATTCCAACCCCTTCCAATGTTGGAATGGGTCAAAAGATCACTGCACTACAAGGTGCAGAGAAACTATCTTTGGGAACTAATTTTCTGACCTCTTATTAAAAATCTCGTCTCGTACGCTGACTCTTCTATTGGGAAAAAAATGTGGTTTTTTTCTTATATTTAAGCAACATTTAGATAGCTGGGATTCATATCTGTTCTAGTTACTCTAATCAAAAGCTCTTGATCATCCTCCATGTAACTTCTCTTTGTATAAGTTGAAAGGACTCCCCCGTGCTCTTTGCAGTGAACTGTTCCACTCCTGTATAGATCTTACAGTTGGGAAGTTTCCACTTAAAACTTAAAACCAAATTAATTGTTATGACTCGTATCTGTGCTTCTTGTCCTATCCTGTCCATCTTCCCTGTAGTTCCACTGTACACATCTTCTAGTGCTATATTTTGTGTTTATCAACATATAATTTCATTTACGTAAACAAAAATGTACATAAGCAACTCTAATTTGGTTTTAATTGCAGGGGAGGGAGGGAAGGAGGAGAAAAGAGGGAGGGAGGGAGGGGGGAGCGAGCGAGTGAAAGAAGAATAGAAGGAAGGAGGGAGAGAGGAGAAAGGGAGGGAGGGAGGAGGGAGGGAGGAAGGAGGGAGTGAGAGAGAGAAAATAAAGGAACAGAGGGAGGGAGGGAGAGGAAAGAAAAGAGGTAGGAAGGGAAGGAAAGGGAAGAGGAGGGAGGGAATGGGGGGGAAAGAGAGAGGGAGAGAGAGAGAAAAGGAAAGAAGGGAGGGAGGAAGGAAAGAAGGAAGAAGAGGAAGTGGGAGGGAGAAAGGAGAGAGGGGAAATGAAGGAATGAACAGAGGTAGGGAGGGAAGGAAGGAAGAAGTGGGAGAGAGGAAGAAAGGAGGGAAGGATGGAAGGATGGAAAGAAAAAGGCAGGCAAAAAGGAAGGAAGAAGAGGGAGTGGGAGGGAGGAAGGAGAGAGGGAAAGAGGGAAAATGAAGAAGAACAGAGCGAGGAAGGGAGGGAGGGAAGGAAGGAAGGAAGGAAGGAAGGAAGGAAGGAAGAAGGAGTGGGAGGGAGGAAGAAAGGAGGGAGGGAGAGAGGGAGAGAAAAGGAAGGAAGGATGGAAAGAAAAAGAGGCAGGCAAGAAGGAAGGAAGGAAGGAAGGAAGGAAGGAAGGAAGGAAGGAAGGAAGGAAGGAAGGAAGGAAGGAGTGGGAGGGAGGAAGAAAGGAGGGAGAGAGGGAGAGAAAAGGAAGGAAGGATGGAAAGAAAAAGAGGCAGGCAAGAAGGAAGGAAGGAAGGAAGGAAGGAAGGAAGGAAAGAAGGAAGGAAGGAAGGAAGGAAGGAAGGAAGGAAGGAAGGAAGGAAGGAAGGAAGGAAAGAAGGGAGGAAGGAAGGAAGGAAGGAAGAAAAAAGGAAGGCAGGAAATGAACACTTACCTGTTTCTTCAAAGAAGTACCCATTTCTGGACATCGCGGCCGGTGGACTTTCTAGGAAGGAAAAAAAATAGAGAAATCTAAGTCAGTTGATAGCTCACACTCTCAACATTTATTTTCCAAAAGCAAGCATTAAATAAAAGTAAATTTAGCCTGCTGACTTTTTTTTTATTTACTATGTTAAAATTGCCTCTTTTTCTCCACGCCAAGGCGCTCGGCCTAGCGCTCTCTCTTTCGACCCACTTCCCAAAATGGAGGCACCAGTTTTTTCCCCCCATTCTACTCCATCACTGGCCACATCTACACCACGTGGCGTCTCTAGTTCATAAATATTACAGATATTTGCCTCTGTCCATTGTCACCAGCCAGGCTGGGCCAGTCCACCCATTTCAGTCCCTTGGTTTAAGGTTTTCTTTAATCAGGATGGGGAAACATGGCTCCCCAGATGACTAAACTACATCTCCCAGCATTCCACACTGCTGAGCACAACAGCTGTTGGACCTGGGCTTCACAGGCCTTGTCCTTAGAAACCCACACCAAGAATCCAACATTCATCTTAGGCTAAAACAGTTGCAGGAATTGGGTATGCCTAGGCCAGGGGTAGGCAACCTTGGCTCTTTGACGACTCGTGGACTTCAACTCCCAGAATTCCTGAGCCAGCCATGCTGAGGGGAAAGGGAGATGTTTCCATGCTCAGCCATGCTGGCTCAGGAATTCTGGGAGTTGAAGTCCACGAGTCATAAAGCAGCCTAGGCCTAGGCCAGAGGTAGGCAACCTTGGCCCTTTTATGACTCGTGGACTTCAACTCCCAGAATTCCTGAGCCAGCTGTGCTGAGGGGAAAGGGAGAGGTTTCCAAGGTGAGCCATGCTGGCTCAGGAATTCTGGGAATTGAAATCCACCAGTCATAAAGCAGCCTAGGCCCTAGGCCAGGGGCGGGGAAGCTTGGCTCTTTTATGACTCATGAACTTCAACTCCCAGAATTCCTGAGCTAGCCATGCTGAGGGGAAAGGGAGAGGTTTCCAAGCTGAGCCATGCTGGCTCAGGAATTCTGGGAGTTGAAGCCCATGAGTCTTAAAGTTGCCAAGGTTGAGGACCCCTAATAAAGGGCAGGGGTGGGGAAACATGGCTCTTTTATGACTGGTGGACTTCAACTCCCAGAATTCCTGAGCCAGCCACGCTGAGGAGAAAGGGAGAGGTTTCCAAGCTGAGCCATGCTGGCTCAGGAATTCTGGGAGTTGAAGTCCACGAGTCATAAAAGAACGAAGGTTGCCTACCCCGATGAAAAGAAGGACTAGGGGGGACATGACAGCAGTCTTCCAGTATTTGAGGGGGCTGCCACATTCTCTTAACAACCGTGTTGCTAACTTAATGCTGCACGGATTCACTTAACAACTGTCTCGCTTAGCAACGGAAATTTTTGAAGAGACAGACATTGACAGCAGTCTTCCAGTATTTGGGAGTTGGGGGGTTGTCTATCACAGAGAAGGGGAGGTGAACCTATTCTCACGCAACCCCTGCCTTGCTTAACAATGCAAATTCTGTTCTCGATTTTGACCGTAAATCGAGGACCACGGTACCTATAATCCCAGACATTTCACTTTGGATCTTATTGGTGACGGTGCAGTGGCAGAATTTGAGTGGGTTGGCCAAGGGCAGCCAGGTATGGGCACAGCCATGTCTGTGTGTCTTGTGGAACAAGCATTAAGAGCTTTTTTTCCCCCTAAATTAGCTTCAGAAATCATATATCCTGCTTCCGTTTAAGGCTTTTTAGTGGGATAAAAGCAATACTTGCTACTCTTCATTTACAGGTCATGATGAAGCAATTAAATCTCTTTGGGATTCTGTCCTACTTACAGGTGTAGGAAACTATGGAAATGATCTGGGAGAACCTTTTCAAAAAGTACTACAACAGCAGGTGCCAAAACATGCTTTGAGCCCTGAAAACAAGGAAAGGGGGAGGACGTCATTTCACTTTAATGTATGCTGATCAGCATACATTTAGAGTGACAACAGAGATTCTATTCTATTCTATCCTATCCTATCCTATTCTATATTCCAATATCTATTCTATTCTATTCCATATTCCATTCTTATTCTTTCCTATTCTCTATTCCATTCCATTCCATTCTGCATTCTGTTCTATTCTGCATTCTGTTTTATTCTGCATTCTGTTCTATTCTATTCTGCATTCTATTCTATTCTGCATTCTATTCTATTCTATTCTATCCTATCCTATATTCCAATATCTATTCTATTCTATTCCATATTCCATTCTTATTCTTTCCTATTCTCTATTCCATTCCATTCTATTCTGCATTCTGTTCTATTCTATTCTGCATTCTATTCTATTCTATTCTATTCTATTCTGCATTCTATTCTATTCTATTCTATTCTATTCTGCATTCTATTCTATTCTGCATTCTATTCTATTCTATTCTATTCTATTCTATTTTCCAATATCTATTCTTTTCTCCAATATCTATTCTATTCTATTCTATTCTATTCTATATTCCAGATTATGACCACAATCAAGCCCGAGACTGCTCTTATAAGGGTTTTGCTCCATTTTGTGACTTTCCTTGCCAAAACTGTTAAGTGAATCCATGCAGTTGTTAAGTTAGTAACCCAGTCGTTAAGTGAATCTGGCTTCCCCATTGACTTTGCTCGTCAGAAGGTTGCAAAAGGGGATCACGTGACCCTGGGACACTGCAACTGTCATAAATATGAGTCTGTTGCCAAGCACCCGAATTTTGATCACGTGACCCTGGGGATGCTGCAACGGTCGTTAAGTGTGAAAAATGGTCATAAGTCACTTTTTTCAGTGCTGTTGTAACTTTGAACGGTCGCTAAATGAACTGTTGTAAAGTGAGGGCTACCTGTGTTTATGACAGCTGCATTATCCCTGGGTCAAGAGATCACTATTTGTAGCCTTCCCAAGCAAAGTCAATGGGGGAAGCCTGATTTGCTTAATGACGGCATGACTCCCTTAAGAACGTCAGTGATTTGCTGAACAACTATGGCTACAATGGTCGTGAAATGGGGCAAGTTCTCATTTAACAATGGCGTTGCTTAACAGTGGAAATTTTGAGCTCATAAGCCGAAACTATATTATCAAATAACAGTCTCAACGTTCAGTCTTAATCAGCAAAAGTCGCCAGAAATAACAGATATTTTAACCGTAAACAAGTACGTCCATTTCAGATTCCTGTGTAATGAATTTATCATTTTCTCTAAAAACACAAAAACCTCTTTTCTTCCCCTATCTTGCCTCATCTTCATAAACAAATCTTTAAAGCTTTGTTGTTCAAAGTTAATCAGAAAAAAACCCATTAAGAGCTAGCAGAAACAATCTATTAAAATCTAATTCCATCAAACAATACCCGACAAATTAATTTCTTATCATCTTCCCTTCATCTCATCTCAAAACCTCCTTCACAAGCTTAACACTTTCCTTCAATTTTAATATCGTGGCGTATCACTTTCTGTCAAAGCACAACAAAAAAAATATATCTTTTTTCCCATATCTTATCTATAAACAAATCTTTAAAGCCTCATCAGTCAGTCCTGGTTTTAAAAAATATATTAAATGCTGCTAGCAAAAAAACAAAACAAAACCATCATGTACATTGAGCAGATTTGAGTTCTTAGACAATTGTTTGTTTGTTTTTTTAAAGTACATCTTATGCAAGTTGATTTTGCTCCAAACGTTGATCAGTTCTGGCATTCATTTATGGGTTTACACCAACACTGAACTTAGTCATCACCTCACATGATCCCATTATTGCCCTAAATTTCCCATAAATTCCTAAATAATCTGGAAAAGAGTTGGTGAAAATTCCCTTTTCACCTCCAAGTCAAGAATAAGCTGCTTTGAGGAATCCTGGCTGCTCTCTGAGCTTGGTGGTTTTCTTGCAAACGTTTTATCACCAAACTAGGTAACGTCATCAGTCCTATAGAGGAGCGGGGTTTGCAGAGAGGAGGGGGAGGAGGAGGAGTGGATTGTGGGGTCCTTGGTGCTCTCTGAGCTTGGTGGTCTTCTTGCAGACGTTTCATCACCAAACTAGGTAACATCATCAGAGCTGCTGATGTTACTGATTACTGTACTGTTCCTACAGTGAAGATGTTACCTAGTTTGGTAAAGAAACACCAAGCTCAGAGAGCACCAAGGTTCTTACCAGCCTCATCTTTGTCTTCCTCCTCCACTCCACAAAGCCCACTCATTTGTAGTACTGATGATGTTACCTAGTTGGGTCATGAAACGTCTGGAAGAAAACAGCCAAGCTCTGAAAGCCTCAAAGACCCCACAGTCCTAGTCCTCCTCCTCCTCCTATCTACAAATTCCACTCCCTTCTAGCACTGATGATGTTACCTAGTTGGGTCATGAAACGTCTGCAAGGAAACCACCAAGCTCAGAGAGCAACAAGGGCCCCACAGTCGTCCTCCTCCCCCCCCCCATAAACCCTCTTTCCTTCTAACACTGATGATGTTACCTAGTTGGTTTAGTGCAGGGGAAGGCAACCTTGGTTCTTTTATGACTTGTGGACTTCAACTCCCAGAATTCCTGAGCCAGCATGCTGAGGGAAAAGGGAGAGGTTTCCAAGCTGAGCCATACTGGCTCAGGAATTCTGGGAGTTGAAGTCCACGAGTCATGAAGCGGCCTAGGCCTAGGCCAGAGGTAGGCAACCTTGGCTCTTTTATGACTTGTGGACTTCAACTCCCAGAATTCCTGAGCCAGCCATGCTGAGGGGAAAGGGAGAGGTTTCCAAGCTGAGCCATGCCGGCTCAGGAATTCTGGGAGTTGAAGTCCACGAGTCATAAAAGAGCCAAGGTTGCCTACTCCTGGGTTAGGGTTAGCATTGTCCCGGTGTGTGTGTGTCTCTGTGTGTGTCACGTGATCCCCTTTTGCAACCTTCTGGCAAGCAAAGAAAAGCCAGGTTCTTCACTTAACAACCCTGCCAGGAAAGGTCGTAAAATGGGGCAAAGCTCACTTAACTAGTGTCCCACTCCGTGAACGAAATTTTGGGCTCAGCTGCAGCCGTTAAGTCGAGGACCG